GAAATATTTTTCTTAAAACAAGAAATACGTTTCTTGTTTTACGAAATAAATATCCTATCCCGCAATTTATTTTTAAAAACAAGAAATAAATTTTCTTGGTTTCAGCAATAAATTTCTTACCCTATGCTTAATAGATTTACGATTTTGCTCTGAGTTCTGATGAGTTTTTAGCAACTTTGAAAGATTTGCAAAGTTTTGGAATTTATGGTAACTAAAAAGTCTGAGGTAGTCTCATCCGTAGGTATTTTTTCAAACTATGACTTAAAATATCAAAAATTAATCAGTAGTCTGGTGAAGTATATAACTCAAGACTTAGTGGTTAATCTTTAACAATAAAAACAGTTTTCAGAAGGATTTCAGCCATAATTCTATCCGTTTTTACACCTTTCCAGACCTCCCTTTGATTTTGAATACAGAACATTTTACCATTTTTATATTGTGATCTCGGTCAAAAGATGCTAACGCCAGTACCAAAAACCTCTAAGGTTTTACCATGATTTGAATTTCACCTCTGCAGCAGACTCAGTATACATCTGCCAATAGTCTTGTAGATCTTAAAACTGTAAATTAAAAATAACGCTATATAGATAAAATAAGGTTTAAAATGACATTGCTAAATACTTATTACATTTATTTTTGACAAGGTAAAATTAAAGAGCTATTTCTATCGATTTTATTTTTTGTTATATTTTTACTGATTTTAAAAAAAGTTTCCCTGGAGAGAGAAATTTAGTCAGCCATTCGATTGATCTCTTTGAGTATCTTATTACTAAGAATAAAAACCTGCCTGATTTTATAGAAATACAACTTGAATTTCATGAAATTCAAGACGTGTGAAACAACTCCATTTTTAATAATTTTCACCTGATGGTCTGATTTTTTTCCGCAAGTTCACAATAATCTCTGCACTAGTGCGGTAGTGGTCTAGTGGTAAGAGCGCTCGCTTTGTAAGCGAGAGGTTCCGAGTTCGACTCCCACCACGTCCCTGGAAGTAGCGCGCTCAACTTAATTTCTCCGCGCAGCGGCCTTGCTTGTCAAGGTTCGTGTTTCGGAGTTAAAAAGTTGAGAGAGGGTTGTACCACAATTTACAAAAAAAAAAAAAAAAAAAAAAATGAGTAGCCTCCTCGACTGTAGTGGTCCCCTCGGGCCTTGGGGAGGTGAATAATTAAAAAAAAAAAAAAAAAACTTCTCAAAAGTCTAAATGTTAATAATTTTAAAATTAAAAACTTATTCACTTTGTTTTTGCAAAAAGATATTTTAAAGTGAAGCAGTTTTATCTTTACCTTACTATTTTTTAACCTTTTATGGTTTTATGATATAAATATATAAATATAATAATAGTTTATTCTCCAGCTTAACAGTTTAAGTTATATTTACGGCGACCTCTATACGAAGCTCTCCGACATGACGGAAATAGGTTAACAAGAATAATGGTCAGCCAGGAAACTTAGCTAAATCTTGTGCAAACTCCTTTTAAATAACCAGGGCTAGAAGTGGGTGAACTGTATGAGATAAAATGCATCTATTAGATAATCTAACAAATTTCTAATTGCTGTGTATTGGACCTCAACGCTATCGTGTTTAAAAACCACATTTTTTTAATTTCATAACGAATTTGTGCGTTTTTAAAATACCAACAAAAAAATTAGTAATAAAAATGCGCACAATCGGTTTAGATAAAAAAACCTTCCATTACTTGTAATGACGTTATTAAAAAGTTAATGATTTGTAAATTTCTATTGCGCCGATTGTTTGAAAATGCCCGTAAAAACTCAAAAAATGTAAAAATGTTAAACTTTAAAATAGTAGCGCGAATAAAAATAGTCATTTAAAATAAAAAATAAAAAAATTTCTTTAAGAAAACAATAGCTTGGGAATATTTTACGACACTCCGCGTATTAAAATTTGTTCATGAGGGTCACAAAGGATGGGCTATATATATATATATATATATATATACATATATATATATATATATATATATATATATATATATATATATATATATATATATATATATATATATATATATATATATATATATATATATATATATATATATATATATATATATATATATATATATATATATATATATATATATATATATATATATATATATATATATATATATATATATATATATATATATATATATATATATATATATATATATGTATATATATATATATATATATATATATATATATATATATATATATATATATATATATATATATATATATATATATATATATATATATATATATATATATATATATATATATATATATATATATATATATATATATATATATATATATATATATATATATATATATATATATATATATATATATATATATATATATATATATATATATATATATATATATATATATATATATATATATATATATATATGTATATATATATATATATATATATATATATATATATATATGTATATATATATATATATATATATATATATATATATATATATATATATATATATATATATATATATATATATATATATATATATATATATCCTAGCTTTCCGGACCCATAAAATACGGGTCTTACCAAACCTACCAAGTCTATATTTATTATCTATTCCACACCGATCATTTCTATACCTATGATTTGTTTACTTCAATATTTTCACGTAAAATAAATAATGTATGTATGTATGTATGTATGTATGTATGTATGTATGTATGTATGTATGTATGTATGTATGTATGTATGTATGTATGTGTATGTATGTATGTATTTGTATTTGCGTATATGTATGTTTGTGTGTATGTGTCTATGTGTATATGTATGTACATGTATGTGTGTATGTATATATATATATATATATATATATATATATATATATATATATAATATATATATATATATATATATATATATATATATATATATGTATGTATATATATATATATATATATATATATATATATATATATATATATATATATATATATATATATATATATATATATATATATATATGTATGTATTTATGTGTGTATCTGTGTATGTATGTATTTATGCATGTATGCTTGTATATATATGAGTGTATATGTGCTGTTAGTATGTTGTGTGTATGCGCTGGTATGGGTGAGTATGTGCTGGTAGTCTATGTATATTCATGAGCAGCTTACTTTCCAAAGGTCGGACATTCTACTAAAGGCGTTACAAAAAGTACAGACGAAAACAGTTATTTATGAGACACCAAGTATACTCTGGAGTATGAAAAGTTCTAATTTTAGCTTTTTATTGCATAATGGTTTTCCTATGAACTAAATGTTATTAAAGAATTATTGAAATCAAATACTATATAAAATATTAAAATGTGTTATTTTCAAAAATTGCAATATGATATTTTAAATAGCTAAGATATAAATTTAAATAGCCAAGATATGTGGCGGGATAGCTCAGATGGTTAGAGCGTTAAAGGAAAAGTTAAAAGCCGGACTGTTAAACGATACGAATTCAAATCTCGCCATCGTCAACTCAGCGCTTGAGTAGTACTTCGGTACGCAAAAATGTTGGCCAATAACGGACGCTACTTTGGATTATTCTTAATGACTATTTGTAGCTGTTCCTATGCTAAGCCAACAATATCTTCGGATATAAGAAGATTGTATAGAAAAATATAACATGAAAACTCAAATAAATAAAAATAAATAAAAAATATAAATAACCACAATAAAAAAAAGTAAAAAAAAACTCTGTTTGGGAAAGTTATTTGATTGATTGCTACAATAACAAAAATTTCGTGAACCTTCTAAACTAAGAAAATTTTTCAGCTCTACCAGTTTAACGAAGGATTACTTATAAAACCGGTTGATATATAAAAAACAAAAACAAAAAACTAACAGACATTAGTACGCAACGATATACAAATAGCAGAACTAAGATCTTAGGCAATTAAAAACTATAGACTAAAAAATGCTAAGGGATCGTCCATAAATTACGCAACGTTAAATTTATTTTCAAAAATGGAGATCTTCAGTTCATTTAGGTAGCGATTTTAATTAAACTTAGCTGTAAAAAAAAATTGAAATGTAAAACTAAATAACATAAGTATCTCAATCACAGGGCCGACGAGACCGTGGGCACGTTCCCCCCCCCCCCACTTTTTTCCTATTTTTTATTGGCGATTGTGCCCCCTCCCCTACACTTCGAAACCCGTGTCGTCGGCCCTGAATCATCATGACACATACGCACTAAATATCTCCCCGTTTTTTAATGTTTTTAGAATTTTTAACTTTTTTAAAAAACTTCTTGTTTCGTTAAAATGTAAAAAATGGTTAAAAAATGGTTAGATAAATTAAGAAGAGGTTGACGCAATGCAATTTTCAAGTGAAAGTAAAACTGTAAAGCTTGCTATATGTTTTAGTATGTTTTAACATTATATAATTTGCAGTTTACGTACGTTAGATATTTGCATACACATTCGTTCACATTTTCTTTTAAAATAAAGCTGCTGCAACTCTTTCTTGCTATTATCTCGGTTGCAATGGCTGTGTGAAAGAGACTCAAAAGGGCACTACTACTACTACTACTACTACTACTACAACTACTACTACTACTACTACTACTACTACTACTACTACTACTACTAAGTTCAGTATTATTT